GAGAGTTCATTCGAAAGGGGGAGAGAAGAGAAGAGTCATGTGTGTCAAAAAACACTCAAATGCGCTCCTATTTATAATTTTTTCAGCCTGGCAACTTGGGACGACCGTCTGGGGTGCAGAAAATAGGGACCGTCGTCTGCAGAGGTTGGGACGGCCGTCTGGGATCTGGGACGGCCGTCCCAAGTGTCAAAATTGGGAGAGACGGCCGTCTGGCATGTGGGACGGCCGTCTGGATTGACTAGGACGGCTGTCCCGACTTCTGGGACGGCTGTCTCGAGTGTTTTGGCCAAATTTTGTGTTCTGGGACTCCCGGGAAGTTTTCCTTTCTTCAGACGGAAGCCGATTGATGCCGATAGACGTCCACCGAAGCTTTATCTTCAGATAGAAAGTCTTCTGGTCTTTTATTCAGAGGCCGGACAAAATTAGGGGTCTACAATTCATTATGTTTTAGTTTCAATAACTTAAACACAAATTTTATAATTTATTATATATTTTATTATTTTCTTTCTCATCTTTCTTCTTTCATCAATCCACAGTGCCGATAAGGATTTGTATGATATCAAGGAATCAATTCATCTCATTCTCCGTCTCCGTGGTGGTGGTTTTGGCGATGGTGTGCAGATGCTTGAGAAGATGTGTGCTGGTAAGACCCTAACCAGTGAGGTTGAAAATTCGGATGGCAAAATAAAGACCAAGAACAAGATTGAAGAGATGACAACAGCTACCGCAATTAATTGTTCACCTGTCTTAATGATTTTGGTGGTTGTTGTTCCTGCAATGATTGGATACGCATATCTACATAATTACTTCAAAATTACTTCAAATGACCAAGAACAAAACTGAAGAGATAACAACAGCTACCGCAATTGACTGTTCACCTCTCTTAATGATTTTGCTAGTTGTTGTTCTTGCTACGATTGGATACGCATATCTGCGTACTTACTTCAAATTATTTGAATTCTGACTAAATATGAATAATAACAGAGTTTTAGCATTTCCAACTTTATTTGAGCTCAGATTAGTTTCGCATCTTTAATATATTATTATCTTTTGAACTATTTAGTATATTTTGTTCTTTAAATATTCATGTCGCCGTCGTCCGTTCCGACGTCTAGGGACATCTCGAACGTTCATGCGAGCGGTCGCGAAAAGATGGTTTAGACTCGCGTTTTATTTTAAAATGTGTTCATTGCTTCTGAGGTGCTCAACAACTGAACTATCCTCTAATAAAAGCAAGTTTTTCACCAAAAGGGTTCTTATGGAGTCGACACCAATGTTTTGACCATAAACATTGGAAAAGGATAAAAAGGCGTTGATTTTAAGAAAAGCCAAACTTGGCCATTATAACCGGAGTTAGGTAAGAGAGTTAGTTACGCGTGGGGAAGGTGTTAGCACCCCCACGACGCCCCTTTCGGGTTTCCTATGACGGATTGATTCATAAAGTAAAGATTAAGAGAGATTACGTTATTACCCTATTTTATTATACAATATTAAAGAATGACTATCTACATGATTCTATTTTCTATTTCATACATAAAACAATAAATAAAGAAATAAAAGAGAAGATAAGTGAAAAGAACCTCCATAGCAAGCTTTTTTATTATAACTCTTCAACTGTGAGGATACGTTTTTTGCAATCCCCCGCGCTACAAGGACTATCCTCCGCGAATACAGGACCGACTATACCTAAATTCTTAGAAGAATTGAATGTCGGAAGAAACTTCCTTAACCGATTGTTACCTTATAGGCATTCGGAGAGTTCATTCGAAAGGGGGAGAGAAGAGAAGAGTCAGGTGTGTCCAAAAACGTTCAAATGAGCTCCTATTTATAGTTTTTTCAGTCTGGCAGCTCGGGACGGCCGTTTGGGGTGCAGAAAACAGGGACCGTAGTCTGCGGAGGTTGGGACGACCGTCTGGGATCTGGGACGGCCGTCCCAAGTGTCAAAATTGGGTGAGACGGCCATGTGGCATGTGGGACGGCCGTCTGGACTGACTGGGATGGCTGTCCCGACTTCTGGGACGGCTATCTCGAGTGTTTTGGCCAAATTTTGTGTTCTGGGACTCTCGAGGAGCTTTCCTTTCTTCAGACGAAAGCCGATTGATGTCGATAGACGTCCACCGAAGCTTTATCTTCAGATAGAAAGTCTTCTAGTCTTTTATTGAGAGGCCGGACAAAATTAGGTGTCTACAATTCATTATGTTTTAGTATCAATAACTTAAACCAAAATTTTATAATTTATTAGATATTTTATTATTTTCTTTCTCATCTTTCTTCTTCCATCAATCCACAGTGCCGATAAGGATTTGTACGATATCAAGGAATCAATTCATCTCGTTCTCCGTCTTCGTGGTGTTGGTTTTGGCGATGGTGTGCAAATGCTTGTGAAGACGTCTGCTGGAAAGACCCTAACCAGCGAGGTTGAAAATTCAAATGGCAAAATAAAGACCAAGAACAAGACTGAAGAGATAACAACAGCTACCGCAATTAATTGTTCACCTATCTTAATGATTTTGGTGGTTGTTGTTCTTGCAATGATTGCATACGCATATCTACATAATTACTTCAAAATTACTTCAAATGACCAAGAACATGACTGAAGAGATAACAACAGCTACCGCAATTAACTGTTCACCTCTCTTAATGATTTTGCTAGTTGTTGTTCTTGCTACGATTGGATACGCATATCTACGTACTTACTTCAAATGATTTGAATTCGGACTAAATATGAATAATAACAGAGTTTTAGCACTTCCAACTATATTTGAGCTCAGATTAGTTTCGTATCTTTAATATATTATTATCTTTTGAACTATTTAGTATATTTTGTTCTTTAAATATTCATGTCGCCGACGTCTAGGAACATCTCGAATGTTTATGCGAGCGGTCGCGAAAAGATGGTTTAGACTCGCGTTTTATTTTAAAATGTGTTCATTGCTTCCGAGGTGCTCAACAACTGAACTATCCTCTAATAAAAACAAGGTTTTCGCAAAAGGGTTCTTATGGAGTCGTCACCAATGTTTTGACCATAAACATTGGAAAATGATAAAAAGGCGTTGATTTAAAAAAAAAAAAAAAACTTGGCCATTATAACGAGAGTTAAGTAAGGGAGTTAGTTACGTGTGGGGAAGGTGTTAGCACCCCCACAACGCCCCTTTCGGGTTCCCTATGACGGATTGATTCATAAAGTAAAGATTAAGAGAAATTACGCTATTACCCTATTTTATTATACAATATTAAAGAATGGTTATCTACATGATTCTATTTTTTATTGCATACATAAAGCATTAAATAAAGCAATAAAAGAGAAGAGAAGTGAAAAGAACCTCCGTAGCAAGCTTTTTTATTATAACTCTTCAACTGTGAGGATGCGTTTTGGCAATCCCCCGCACTACAAGGACTCTCCTCCCCGAATACAGGACCGACTCTACCTAAATTCTAAGAAGAATCGAATGTCGGAAGAAACTTCCTTAACTGATTGTTACCTTATAGGCAATCGGAGAGTTCATTCGAAAGGGGGAGAGAAGAGAAGAGTCATGTGTGTCCAAAAACGCTCAAATGAGCTCTTATTTATAATTTTTTTCAGCCTGGCAGCTCGGGACGGCCGTCTAGGGTGCAGAAAACAGGGACCGCCGTCTGCAGAGGTTGGGATGACCGTCTGGGATCTGGTACAACCGTCCCAAGTGTCAAAATTGGGTGAGACGGTCGTGTGGCATGTGGGACGGCCATCTGGACTGACTGAGACCGTTGTCCCTACTTCTGGGACGGCTGTCTCGAGTGTTTTGGCCAAATTTTGTGTTCTGGGACTCCCGGGAAGCTTTCCTTTCTTCAGACGGAAGCCGATTGATGCTGATAGACGTCCACCGAAGCTTTATCTTGAGATAGAATGTCTTTTGGTCTTTTATTGAGAGGCCGGGCAAAATTAGGGGTCTACAATTCATTATGTTTTAGTTTCAATAACTTAAACCAAAATTTTATAATTTATTAGATATTTTATTATTTTCTTTCTCATCTTTCTTCTTCCATCAATCCACAGTGCCGATAAGGATTTGTACGATATCAAGGAATCAATTCATCTCGTTCTCCGTCTCCGTGGTGGTGGTTTTGGCAATGGTGTGCAGATGCTTGTGAAGATGTCTGTTGGTAAGACCCTAAGCAGCGAGGTTGAAAATTCGGATGGCAAAATAAAGACCAAGAACAAGACTGAAGAGATAACAACAGCTACCGCAATTAACTGTTCACCTGTCTTAATGATTTTGGTGGTTGTTGTTCCTGCAATGATTGGGTACGCATATCTACATAATTACTTCAAAATTACTTCAAATGACCAAGAACAAAACTGAAGAGATAACAACAGTTACCGCAATTAACTGTTCACCTCTTTTAATGATTTTGCTAGTTGTTGTTCTTGCTACGATTGGATACACATATCTACGTACTTACTTCAAATGATTTGAATTCTGACTAAATATGAATAATAACAGAGTTTTAGCACTTCCAACTATATTTGAGCTCATATTAGTTTCGCATCTTTAATATATTATTATCTTTTGAACTATTTAGTATATTTTGTTCTTTAAACATTCATTATGTTTTACTTTCAATAACTTAAACCAAAATTTTATAATTTATTAGATATTTTATTTTTAAAATTTCTTAAATATTTAAAATAAAATAATAAATTGAATTCCTAATATTTATTTAAATCATGAAATTAAATAATTAAAAGATCCAATAGAAGAGGAGAATTTCATTCTGGAAAAGTGGAACAATGAACAACATGATTTACTTGAAACATTGAAGCCTGATGGATTATGATCATGATTACGTGATTTGGAAGAAAATATTATGATCATGATTACATGATTTTGAAGAAAATGATAACAACATTGGACATGGATGTGCCAATAACAAAGTGTGGCTATGTTCACAAATAATAACAAAGTGTGGCTATGTGCACAAATAAAAGATTTTGTATGGATTTTTTAGCATTGATCACTAGGATGAGCAAGGCGGGACAATCTCTGAAATGGGTTCACCAGTGCAACGATTTGAGATCCTTCAAGCAAATCCATGCGCATCTATTGACTTCTGCCCTTGTTGCCAATGACTTGGTTGTTACCAAAGCTGCAATTTTTTTGGGAAAACATGTAACTGATGTAGACTACCCTTGCAATTTCCTGAAGCAATTTGATTGGAGTTTGAGCTCTTTTCCTTGTAATTTGCTGATTTCTGGCTATGTCTCTGGCCACTCACCCTGGCTTGGAATACTGATTTATAGATGGACTGTTAGGAATGGTTTTGTGCCTGATGTGTACACTATCCCAGCAGTTTTAAAATCTTGTGCTAAGTTTTCTGGGACTGGAGAGGTTAAACAATTTCATCCTCTAACTGTTAAGACTGGTTTGTGGTGCGACAATTATGTGCAAAACACTCTTGTCCATGTCTATAGCATTTCTGGGGACATTGTTTGTGCTGGCAAGGTGTTTGATGACATGCTTGTGAGAGACGTGGTCTCTTGGACTGGTTTGATATCTGGGTATGTCAAGGCTGGGTTGTTTAATGAGGCCATTGGATTGTTTTTGAGGATGGATGTGGAACCTAATGTAGCAACCTTTGTCAGCATTCTTGGGGCTTGTGGGAAATTGGGGTGTTTAAATTTGGGGAGAGGGATTCATGGGTTGGGTCTGAAATGTCTATATGTGAAGGAGTTGGTGGTATGCAATGCTGTGTTGGATATGTATATGAGGTGTGAGTCTGTTACTGATGCAAGGCAAATGTTTGATGAGATACCTGAGAAAGATATTATTTCTTGGACTAGCATGATAAGCGGGTTAGTGCAACGTCAGTGTCCCAGGGAATCACTAGACTTGTTCTGTCAAATGCTGGTCTCAGGTTTTGAGCCAGATGGAGTTTTACTGACTTGTGTGCTTTCTGCTTGTGCCAGCCTTGGGCTTCTTGACTATGGCAGATGGGTACATGAATACATTGATAGTCATGTTATCAAGTGGGATGTTCATATAGGAACTGCATTGGTTGACATGTATGCAAAGTGTGGTTACATAGACATGGCACAGCGTATTTTCAGTGGAATGCCTTCCAGAAATATCCGTACTTGGAATGCCTATATAGGTGGTCTAGCAATAAATGGACATTGGGAGGGAAGCATTGAAACTATTTGAAGATTTGATTGAATCCGGTGCAAGGCCTAACGAAGTGACATTTCTTGCTGTTTTTACAGCTTGCTGCCATTCTGGTTTGGTCAGTGAAGGCCTGAAGTATTTTAATGAGATGTCAAGTCCCCTCTACGATCTTTCTCCCTGGTTAGAACACTATGGATGCATGGTTGATTTACTCTGCAGAGCTGGACAGGTAGGGGAAGCTGTGGAGTTAATAAAGACAATGCCCATGCCCCCTGATGTGCAGATCATAGGAGCTCTTTTGAGTGCCTGTAATACATATGGGAATGTTGGATTTACCCATGAAATGTTGAAATCACTGCAAAATTTTGAATTCCAAGATAGTGGCATATACGTGCTTTTTTCTAATCTGTATGCCACTAACAAGAAATGGGCTGATGTGCGAAGTGTTAGGAGATTGATGAAGCAGAAAGGAATAAGCAAGGAACCTGGTTCTAGCCTTATAAGGGTGGATGGTAAGAGTCATGAATTTTTAGTTGGAGATAATAGTCATCCTCAAATTGAGGATATTCACGTACTATTAAACATGTTTACCAATCATTGACATTTTCAAGATAGTCAACTTTCTTATGCATTTTCTTATGTAAACTGAAACAGAAATTTTTAGATTTATTCTAAGATTTGTTTGTTTATTTAATTATATGGCATGTGCCAATGCCAATTGTAGAAATGTGCCTCTCTCGAATAACTAGATCCCCAAAGTGACCTATATATCTTACACATATAAATGATACAGAATTAGTAAATAGATAATTTTATTAGAAATCACGTAAGACTATAGTGAAAACAAACAAATATACATAATTGGTTTTGGCTGTTATATGGATTGAGAAAATGAAAAATTGTGAGTGCATTAACAAACTGATAAACGAATTTATACATGAAATATGAAAGAATTGAGGAGGCAAGGGCATAATTGGTGAAAAGAAAAACAATAATATTATAGGTCTGTTTTTTAAAATTGTGCATCTATTCTCTATAAAAAAAGGAAAAAAAAAAATCATTGAAGTTGAAATTTAATCTTTTCATCATTTTTCACAAGCTAACCAAAATGTGTGTTTAATTTCTCATCACATTAACACTAATCCCTGGTAGGACCAACACGGAGTATCTATACCTTCCACGTTTCAACACACTTTTTTACTTGATTTCTGTAAAACATATATCTTAAACGTTATACCAACAAAGCATCTTGAAAAATGTCAAGAGTTCTCACTTTTGATTCGCTTTAAAAGGAGGTGCAACATTATTTATATATATATATATATATATATATATATATATATATGTATATATATATATGTATATATATATATATACATATATATATATACATATATATATATACATATATATATATTATCAATAATATCTGTGAATCATTGAATTATTTAATTTAACTTAAAATCATTTTTAGAAAAACAAAAATAATCGATACATGACTTTTTTTTATTAATTAAAACAACTTGTTTAGTATATATATATATATATATATATATATATATATATATATATGCATTTTTATTTTCTTAAAAATATAAATTCATAATCCAGAATTTATGGAAGAATATTTTCATGGGACAAATCATGTTCGTATAGAACAGTTTGGTCGAGTGGTCTAAGGCGTCAGATTTAGGCTCTGGTCCGCCGAAGGGCGTGGGTTTAAATCCCACAGCTGTCATGGTCTCTCAGCCCAATTTTATGAGCCCAACATTGGGCAAATTGGTGAACTGACAGTACTGTGTGGTTGGGTTCATTTCAATTTTTATGGTAGTGACTTGATTTGCTTTAAAAAAAATAATTTGATTGAATTTATCTATGTCTATATCTATGTTCGACTCATTAGAATATATGAAAATTCTATTGGAATATTCAATATCTTTAATAATAGTGACAAACTAATAGAATACCGATTCTTAAAGAGGTCATTCTGTATTGCTAAAAAATTATACACCAACAATAAGTGATTATAGTGAGTGCTGAATTAGTGTTTGTATTTTAAGGGCTGTCTTTTTTTTTTCAAATTACTAATATATTATCAATTGGTACTAATAATATAATAAAGACAATTCTTATAAAATTTATATTAGCTGATTAATTTCGGTTAAATAAAATTGATACCTGTGGAGAGAAATCAAACTATTAACAGTCACCGACTGAAAATGTTGTATAATGTATACATGCCAATACCACTGTAACATTTAAGTCCACAAATTTACTTGTTTGTAAGAAACATAAAAAGAGACCGACTTGTTACAAATTGACGAGTGAAAGAACAAAGGCCAAACAAACAATGAGCGACCTAATAATTTGTAGGAAATATCAAAGGCATATGCTGGGAGGGAAATCATGAGCGGCAAGAGAAAACTCTTCTGGAAATGACCAGGCAAAGTGGATTAGTACCGTGTAAGTTTAATCTTGATGTAAATTTGTATTAAACAATGGATTTCAGTACAGTATAATTTCTCAATCAAGTTAACAAATTCCTTAAAAAATGGTTTTTTAAGTGATTTTAGAGTGTTGATGATCCAGCAGAGACAACTGATGCAACTGGTTCGTAATGATAAACCATGGATTTTTATGTGGAAATCATATCAATCACTTTGCGTGAAAATATCACAAATGGAACCCTCCAGAGCCGCTCAAATTCTATCTCCTCCCACAAAAAGCATACAGTTTCTAGATTTTTGAGTCAGATATTTCACCATGGCCAACTCCATCACCCTTACTCTTTGTTAAAAGATGATACAAATGTTAGAAAGATATAAAATATAAAATCTTAGATGTTACTAGATACATCTAGAAAGATCTAGAATATAAAATCTTAAATGTTACTAGAATTAGGAATTACATATGAGTAATATCTAGAATCCTTAGAAGATTCTAGAAATGTTTGAAAGAAGAAGATAGATAATTCTAGAATTAAGAAAATCTAGAATTATGTAAAACTTCTAGAATTATGTAGAAAACATATGTGTACTAGTAGAAGTTACAACATGATTCTAGAAAAAGAAAAAGAAGAAAAAATGTGTAGAAATAGAATAGTGTAAAAACAATGAAATTAGTAGAAAATTCTAGAATCTTGTAAGTAAAGCCTATAAATAGGCATCAAGGGAGTCTTTGTATGTGTGGAAAATCTAATACAAGCTCCTACATATCTTGTAACACTTCTAACATCAATTACTATCTTCCCGCATACAAACTTTCTCCTATTTGTCCACCTCTTTCTAAAAATTATTTTCTACACAAATTTCACTACTAAACATCAAATTATCTTTCCTATCCTTCCTAAAATACTAATAGTGGTATCAGAGCTACGTTCGGTCACCTACTGGCGTAGAGAAAATTTTTCGACTACCTTTAAAAACCCAATCCCACTCTACATTACTTCCAAAAGAAAATTCCAACCTATGGCCACTACCAACCAAACATCATCCATTCCAGTCCCTATTTTCAAGGGAGAAAATTATGATTTTTGGAGAGTCAAAATGAGGGCATTTTTTTGTTCTCAAGATCTTTGGGACGTCATTGAAGATGGGTTCACTATTCCAGAAGACATCTCAACTCTTATAGCTGCCCAGAGGAAGGAGCTGAAGGAAAACAAACAGAAGGATTCAAGGGCATTATTCACTCTTCAGCAAGCAGTTGATGACACTATTTTTCCAAGAATAATGGGTGTCACAAGTGCAAAGGAAGCTTGGAATACAATTCAGGAGGAGTTTAAAGGAAGTGATGAGGTACGCAATATTAAACTTCATTCACTAAGAAGAGAATTTGAGTTAATAAAAATGAATGAATCTGAGACCATAAAAGATTATTATTCTAGAATAAAAGAAATAGTTAGTCAGATGAGAGCCTATGGGGAAAATATTATTGATAAGAAAATTATTGAGAAAATTCTAATTTCTATTCCCCAAAAATATGATGTAATTGCAACTGCAATTGAACAAACAAAAGATTTATCTACATTATCGGTGACACAACTAATAGGCTCTCTTGAAACATATGAACAAAGATTGAAAAGGCGTGAAGAAAACTCAGTCGAAAATGCCTTTCAATCAAAACTAAAATTACGGTCTCAAAATGGAGGAAATAAAATTAATAGAGAACTTTAAGGAAAATTCTAGAAATTTTTCCAAGACTATTCAAGGAAAATATCCTCCATGTGGCACTTGCAAAAAGACAAGTCACTTGGAAAAAGATTGTTGGCATCGAGGAAAACCTCAATGTCAATATTGTAAGAAATTTGGACATCTAGAGAAAATGTGTCGCAACAAAAATCATCAACAAGCAAATTTTGCCAAAGAACGGGACAGAGAACAACATCTCTTCTATGCTACAGGATGTTCTGACAATGAATCGAAAGGAAGATGGTACTTGGACAGCGGGTGTAGTAACCATATGGCAAATGATCCAAGCATCTTCAAAGAAATTGATAACTCCAGCAAAGTTCAAGTACGATTGGGAAATGGCACCGTGGTAGAGTCAAAAGGAAAAGGCAGTGTTATGTTGGAGACCAAGAAAGGTATGAGACTTATCAATGATGTCTTACTAGTTCCCAATATTAAAGAAAATCTCTTAAGTATTGGTCAAATGATGGAGAAAGGATATACTCTTCACTTTGGAAGAGATACATGCACTATCTATGATAAGAAAAATCTAGAGATTGGCCAAGTAAAAATGGACAAGAGAAATAGAAGTTTTCCTATAAGCTCCAATCAAGGAACGAACATTGCCATGAAAGTAGAAGTTGATGATTCGTTGTTATGGCATCGTAGATTTGGTCACTTCAATACTCATGCCTTAAAGCTACTACATCAAAAAGGCATGATGAGAGATCTACCAAGCCTTAAGGAGAGTAGCGAAGCTTGTGAAGGATGTCTTCTGGGAAAGCAACACAGATTACCATTTTCTACGGGAAATACTTGGAGAGCAAAAGACTTGTTGGAGTTAATCCACACAGATATTTGCGAACCGATGAGGACTCCATCGCTTAATAACAACAGGTACTTCATTCTTTTCATTGATGATTATTCTAGAATGACTTGGGTCTACTTCATTAAAGCAAAATCAGAAGTCTTTGGAATATTCAAAAAATTTAAGGCCCTTTGTCGAAAAGCAAAGCGGAAAACAGATAAAGGTTCTCAGGAGCGATCGAGGTAAAGAGTACACCTCCCACGAATTTGATAAATTCTGTGAGGATGAAGGTATTGAGCAACAACTTACAGTCGCATATTCTCCACAATAAAATGGTGTCTCAGAGAGAAAAAATCGCACTGTCATGGAGATGGCAAGATCAATGTTGAAGGAGAAAGGCTTGCCAAATACGTTTTGGGTAGAAGCAGTTTACACTGCTGTATATATACTCAATAGATGTCCAACTAAGGCCGTTCAAAACAAGACTCCTATTGAATCTTGGAGTGGAAGAAAACCATCAGCAAAACACCTACGAATATTTGGATCAATTTGCTACATACATGTTCCTGATCAGAGGAGGCATAAGCTTGAAGACAAAACTATAAGAGGAATATTCTTGGGATACAGCCAACAATCAAAAGGCTATCGAGTCTACAACTTACAAACAAAGAAACTCGTCATCAGTCGAGATGTTGAGGTTGACGAAAATGCTTTTTGGAATTGGGAAGAAGAAAAAGTTGTTAGAAGCAACATCCTGGTTCCAGTACAACAACCTGAAGAAGAAACAGGAGATCCACGTACGCTTTCTCCACCTCCACAAAAAGAAGAAGAATATACTTTACCAGAGTCTACACCAAGACGTGTAAGATCTTTGGTAGATATATATGAAACTTGTAACATGGCCATCATTGAGTCTTCCTGCTATGAAGAAGCTTCAAAGCAAGAAGTATGGGTCAAGGTCATCGAAGAAGAAATCAAAATGATTGAGAAGAATAATAATTGGGAGCTTGTGGACTGTCCTCACGGAAAAGATATCATTGGAGTAAAATGGATATATAAAACTAAGCTCAACCCTGATTGAACCATACAAAAATATAAGGCAAGATTGGTCGCAAAAGGATACTCACAACAACCTGAGATCGACTACAATGAGACTTTTGCTCCAGTTGCTTATCTGGATACAATTAGAGCTTTAATAGCCCTTGCTGCACAAAAAGGTTGGAACATCCATCAACTGGATGTCAAATCCGCCTTTCTCAATGGAACACTTGAAGAAGAGATCTATGTTAAGCAACCACAAGGCTTCATCAACAAAGGCCACGAAGGAAAAGTACTAAGACTAAGAAAAGCTCTATATGGCCTGAAGCAAGCTCCTCGAGCATGGTATAGTAAGATTGATAAATATTTTATCGATCAAGGATTTAGGAGGAGCAAGAGTGAGCCAACACTTTATATCAAGACACAAGGTCAGTATAATCTCATTGTCTCCTTATATGTTGATGATCTCATCTATACAGGAAACAATAAGGAAATGATGAAAGAATTCAAAGAAAATATGATGAAAACATTCGAAATGACTGATCTTGGCTTGATGAACTACTTCCTTGGGATAGAGGTGATACAACAAAAAGAAGGAATATTTATCTCTCAGAAGAAATATACTAAAGCTCTACTAAACAGATTCAAGATGTACGGATGTAAACCTGTCACTACTCCTTTGGTGGTAAACGAAAAGCTAAAGAAAGATGATGGAACACCAGAAGTAGATGTATCATGATACAGGAGTTTGATCGGAAGTCTTCTATATCTCACAGCTACACGACCAGACATTATGTATGCTACAAGTCTTCTGTCAAGATTCATGCAAAAGCCAAGTCAGATTCACTATGGAGCAGGAAAAAGGATTTTAAGGTATCTGCAAGGCACAAGAGAGTTTGGTATATGGTACAAGACCATGACCAACTCAAGGATGATTTGCTACACCGACAATGATTGGGCAGGATCAATAGACGACATGAAGAGTACGTCAGGATACGCCTTCTCACTTGGATCGGGTTTTTTCTCATGGGCATCAAAGAAGCAAGCAACTGTGGCACAATCAACAGCTGAAGCAGAATACGTAGCTGCTGCTGTAACTACAAGTCAAGCAATATGGCTACGAAGAATACTTGAAGAAATGGGCGAACCACAAGATGGACCAACTACTATCTATTGCGACAACAAATCAGCAATAGTAATGACGAAGAATCATGTTCATCATCAAAGAACAAAACATATAGCTATTAAATATCACTTCATCAGAGAGGCTGAAGCGACTAAACAAATTCAACTTTAGTATTGCACTACAGAAGATCAAATTGCAGACATATTCACCAAGGCACTACCAAGAACCAAGTTTGAACAATTATGTTTCATGCTTGGAGTTACAAGAATTTGCATCAAGGAGGAGTGTTGAAAGATGATACAAATTCTAGAAAGATCTAGAATATAAAATCTTAGATGTTACTAGAATTAGGAATTACATATGAGTAATATCTAGAATCCTTAGAAGATTCTAGAAATGTTTAAAAGAAGAAGATAGATAATTCTAGAATTAAGAAAATCTAGAATTATGTAAAACTTCTAGAATTATGTAGAAAACATATGTGTACTAGTAGAAGTTACAACATGATTCTAGAAAAAGAAAAAGAAGAAGAAATGTGTAGAAATAGAATAGTATAAAAATAATGAAATTAGTAGAAAATTCTAGAATCTTGTAAGTAAAGCCTATGAATAGGCATCAAGCGAGTCTTTGTATATGTGGAAAATTTTGTATATGTGGTAAGCGCTCGATCCTAACAATTGGTATCAGAGTCAAGGTCACGAGTTCGATTCCTGGTGGGCAATTGTTGAGGGGGAGATTGTTGCAGGTTGCACAATTGTCCCGTGGCAGAGGCCGGGTGGGCCAAGTCACAATCCAAGAGTGGGATACCTTGTAGGACAATTGCTGAGGGGGAGATTGTTGCAGGTAGCATCAATTGTCCTGTGACGAAGGTCAGGTGGGCCGAGTCACAATTGAATCGTGGCGCTTGGGCTGTTAAAGTAAAAAGAGTTGCGCTCTGACTAATGGCTATAGCTTTTGGCCTAGTGGTAAGCGCTCGATCCTAACATGTAACACTTCTAACATCAATTATTATCTTCCCTCGTACAAACTTTCTCCTATTTGTCCACCTTTTTCTAAAAACTATTTTCTACACAAATCTTACTACTAAACATCAAACTATATTTCATATCCTTCCTAAGATACTAACAGTCTTCTTTATAAAACCCTCTCCACGGCATTGACAAATATCAAGTCCTCAACTTTTCTATACTCAATTTTTTTTTCTAAAAACGTGCTACAAAGCACGACTTCTTCTTCTTCTTTTCTGCAAACGTGCTTTTTTTTCTGAAAACGTCCTCAAAGATTTTATTTATTTATATATAGGAGTAATTAATTAACTGAATCTTTCAACCCTTTGAACCGCGACACCTTCCCCGTCGACGTGTAGTCACATGCAAAACTCTTTGAACCGCGTTTTGTAATACCCTTTGCACGTTCGCTCGTGCAGTGCTGTGGCTTTCATCAACACGTGGTGGAATATCCTTGAAGGGAATGAGTTTGCCGCAGAAGATTATGTTCTCTGCAACTGCACTCTTACTTGAAGTGAAGTGGTGAATTCTTCACTAAAGAACTCGAACAGATTATCATGGTCATCACCAAAGCTTTTTTCATCTACTTTTGAGAAATCACGATCCCGTTTAGCAAAATTAATGGAGCTACTGTAAATAGGATGGTCACAAAGAGAGAGTCTCTTCTTCCTCTCTTCGTATGGATCTGATCTAGCTGCAGTAGGGTGCTTTCTTCATTTCCTGCTTCTTGATCTGAGTGGAACTCTTTAACCGCCATAGGTATATTTTCTACGAGAAAAAAACAAAAGGGAATATATAATAAAATCGCCTTATCTTTTACGACTTTTGAAAAAGTTTAAAATTTTTAATTCCATTTAATAAAATCAAATATTTTTTTTATCTTAAAACTTAAAATATTAATAAAATTATTATATTATATTTTTAAGTGTTTAATTATACATCCATTTTAAAAAAATATATTTAAATAAGATGTTTTATAAATAATAAAATGATAATATCTGTAAGTCTTTTATTAATATATTTTATATATAAAAATATATATTTCTAAAATATTTTATAATTTTTTTATTTATAATTAAGTAATTATATATATTTATTCTGTATGTCAATAATATATTAATATATATTTAAAAAAAATAAAAAAAATACAAGAACCACCCGGATTTATTGAAATCATCAAAAAAACAAATACAATATTTAGTATCATAATCCACCCTATCCAAAATGTGAGTTTATTTATTTTATTCAATGTGAACATTTTGAATTTCACCAAAATATAAACTCTCTTAAAACTTCAGACATAATCCTCCCTTCTTCTTTTGGTTCCAGATTTCCTTCACTCTTTCTCATCCTTTTCTTTTGATCTCGTTTGACCGGCAATATCATGTGTAAAATTAGACTTTTATATATATATATATATATATATATATATATATATATATATATATATATATATATATATATATATATATATATATATTAGCTTTATTATTATTGAAAAAAGTGTTATGCTACTTTTGTATAAATAAGACAAAACTCCAATAACCACCATATTCAACTTTTGATACACGAAGAAATAAAATAAATTATAAAAAGAATATTCCGAAAACAAATTTTAGCTGTTTGAATTTTTTATAAAAAAAATTTACCAAGCTTTATATAGTTTTTCGGTTAAAAAAACTGCACATACTACATACATTATTATTATTATTATTATTATTATTATTATTATTATTATTATTTAATCTAGATAGAAATAAATACTTAAAAAATAATAGAAGATTTTAATATTATTATTAAGTTGGAGTATCATGTATTTAGATGTGGTCTTCTCTGTTAAAATATTCAGATTATTTTGAATATAAAAAAGAAAAAGAAAAAACATACACAGGGGTTTAAGTAAATAAAAAAGTTTTTATTTTTTATTTTTTTAACTCTAAGATAAATTTTCTTTAATTGAATCAGTTATTTTAGCCTTGTTGTGTAGGATACTGACGCTTGTTGTTGTTTTAAAAAAAAAAAAAAATACTTTATATCACAGCCATATTCGTAACCACACAGTCTTTCGAATAGACTCAGCCCAAGCCCAAGAAGTTTTAACTAATATATAAGCTGGAGACAGAGTTACTAGGGTTTCGGGGTGTGCTTGGAGAGACTTGAGCAGACTCTGAAGCAGAAGCAGAGCAACCATGGCAGTTGGAAAAAATAAGAGGATTTCTAAGGGAAAGAAGGGCGGCAAGAAGAAGGCGTTAGTATCCATTTCTATATTTATTTATTTTCTTCGTCATCTTTAATTTTAACTATATTTTCTTTCTTCTTCCATCAATCAATCCACAGGGCGGATCCCTTTGCCAAGAAGGATTGGTACGATATCAAGGCCCCTTCTGTATTTCAGGTCAAGAATGTTGGCAAGACTCTCGTCACCCGTACACAAGGCACAAAGGTATTTTCTTTCATTTCATAACTGCATATCCATTGCCACTCTATTTATATCTATATATAGGTCTACGATTTTATTTTTATTTTTATGTATGAAATGAGGTACACCGTTGATTTTGTTTATGAATTTGGTTGAAGATAAGTTGGATTTTGCATTTGGTTCTTCAGCATCTTTATTTTCTTATTCAGTATCTTCTTTTAGTATAATAAGTGATTCTTGTACTTTTATCGTTCTTATCGTGGAGTATAGTTTTGAGTGTGCTCTTTTTATCGGGTTCCTTTTATTTATAATTATGGGAATGGGTTATTTGGTATGCATGCTTTTTTTTTTATTATTTAGATTGTGACAGGATGGTCACCAAGGTATCTAAACATGTTCCAAATTTTGATGTTACAATTTTAGTGAAATTTTTTTTGGTTTTGTGTAGCGGGTCACTATGTTGGGGATTGTATTTCTTTATAATTTTGGTATATTTCATGGAATGATTTTTATATTTTGGTATATTTCATGGAATGATTTTTATATTTTTGTGTGCTTATTGCATTTTTGTGCTTTTATTGAGAAAACACTGTTACGTGAATCTTCCAAATCAATCTATAACAGTTGCTTAGCTACATGCGTATTCTATGCATACATAGATGATATTTACATGTGTACTATTAGTGATTAGGTGCATAAACTTTGTATGCTTACGTAGATCATGTTTGTTTTAAATAACAGATTGCTTAGCTACATGTGTACTATCGATAGTGATTAGGTGTGCATAAACTTTGTATGCTTATGTATACCATGTTTGTTTCAAATAACAGATTGCTTAGTTTTGTATTATCGATAGTGATTAGGTGTGTATAAACTTTGTATGCTTATGTATACCATGTTTGTTTCAAATAACAGATTGCTTAGCTTTGTATTATCGATAGTGATTAGGTGTGCATAACTATCGATAGTGATTAGGTGTGTATAAACTTTGTATGTTTATGTAGACTATGTTTGTTTCAAATAACAGATTGCTTAGCTACATGTGTACTATCGATAGTGATTAGGTGTGCATAAACTTTGTATGCTTATGTATACCATGTTTGTTTCAAATAACAGATTGCTTAGCTTTGTATTATCGATAGTGATTAGGTGTGCATAACTATCAATAGTGATTAGGTGTGTATAAACTTTGTATGCTTATGTAGACCATGTTTGTTTCAAATAACAGATTGCTTAGCTTTGTACTATCGATAGTGATTATGTGTGTATAAACTTTGTATGCTTACGTAGACCATGTTTGTTTCAAATAACAGATTGCTTAGCTACATGTGTACTATCGATAGTGATTAGGTGTGCATAAACTTTGTATGTTTATGTAGACCATGTTTGTTTCAAATAACAAATTGCTTAGCTACATGTGTACTATCAATAGTGATGAGGTGTGCATAAACTTTGTATGCTTATGTAGACCATGTTTGTTTCAAATAACAGATTGCTTCTGAAGGACTCAAACATAGAGTGTTTGAGGTATCATTGGCTGATCTTCAAGGAGATGAGGATCATGCATTCAGGAAGATTAGGTTGAGAGCTGAAGATGTACAAGGGAAGAATGTTCTGACAAATTTCTGGGTATGAGGGTTGTTGTTTTCATGATATCATCATGTGTTATTTTTTTCAAGAAATTTGAATCTTTTAATCTTTGATTTGCTAGGGAATGGATTTCACCACTGACAAGCTGAGGTCATTGGTTCGTAAATGGCAAACTCTTATTGAATCCCATGTTGATGTGAAGACAACTGATAATTACACATTGAGGATGTTTTGTATTGGATTTACCAAGAGAAGAGCTAACCAGGTGAAGAGGACCTGTTATGCACAATCAAGCCAGATTAGACAGGTATATTTACCAATTTTCTTAGATTCTCTTATTGAGCAATAATTTTAACTTTGCATATGCTTCACATTAAACTTAGCATACAGAACAAGTTCCTGCTTGCACTTTTCTGTATATAGCAATATATACAACTATTTGGACTATTGGCTGCAATACTGCATATTAAAAATTAATATCACACGTTTACCTTTTCAGATTCGCAGGAAGATGAGAGAGATTATGACCAACCAAGCAACTTCCTGTGATTTGAAGGAGTTGGTGCGCAAGTTTATTCCTGAGATTATTGGAAAAGAGATTGAGAAGGCAACATCCAGTATTTACCCTCTGCAGAATGTTTTTGTTCGAAAAGTCAAGATCCTTAAAGCTCCTAAGTTTGATCTTGGGAAACTGATGGAGGTATTTGTTTAAAAATTTATTTTGTTTTCATTTATCTTCTTTGTCAGACTTCATGATTAATAGGTCATAATTTTCTTTTACCTGAGGAAATAAACCGTATGTTCAATGGGTGTTTGGTTTTCCATTATAGGAGATAACTTAATGTATGTTTCTCAAGTAATAGCCGATTGGCAATTTGTTCTAGTTGGTCTATAACCTGTTCAGTGCTTTTTGAATTTTTCTCTTGAACATATTGATCAACTGAGCTAATTTCAGACTATCATTGTCTCTTTCAAGATAATCAATTTCCTTATGCGTTTTGTTATGTAAACTGAAACAGAAATTTGTAATGCACTTTATTTCTCTTTTTTGATATCTAAATTTTCTTTTTATCGAATTTTATGATTTGTTGACCCTCATGTGTTTCCGAGAAATACTCTTTTCAGTGACACACCTTTTAAGTGTTTGATACCTTTGATGTTTGGCCCTTGTAGGTTCATGGTGATTACTCAGAAGATGTCGGTATAAAGGTAGATAGACCTGTGGATGAAACAATTGCAGAGGAACCAACTGAAATTGTTGGAGCTTAGTGATACTGAATTCAGTTTGCTTGTTTTAGGTTCTCTTTATGATGTTGTCATTGAAAATTAAGTTTAAAACTTTGTAAGCCTATTATTAAATCAGTTTTGTTTTGATAATCAAACATTTTTGGCTCGTAATATATCTGAATTTGTTTAGAATCTGAGGTCAGATTTAATTGCTTATTGTTATTTGTTTTTATCACATCAATTGTTTTTTTTTTTCTCGTGAATGTCTTCCACATTTTGTAAATATCAACTAGCCCTCCCTCCCTAACGAATTTGAAGTTATTATATTAATGTTAACGATGCATGATTTCGTGAGTAATTGAGATTTTAACAAATAGTTATTGGAACTTGCAGAATTGAACAAGTTTAGATTTTGATTTGTGATGAACAAAAGAAAATTTGCATGGATTTTTAAAATGCAGATTAATTTCACTCAGTAAAGGTGTTTAGCTAAGTCCATTAACATTTCTCGGGTTGTCATTTAAAATTTCGTTAGATTTCCTGCTTGTGTAATTTATATGTATGTTCAATGGAGGTCTGAATTCATGTGTTAAGATTTTTATGGTTTATTAATTACAAAAATTTGATATCTTGGTATCTTAAAATTTAAAATAGAAAAATTATAAAGCTTTTATCAAGCATAACAAACATTAAAAGTACACAACAGTTTAAGTAAAATAAATGCATAAACATTAAATAATAATTGGAAAATTTTAACTGTCAACACTTCTCTTTTCTTCTGTAATTCAAGCTTTTATATTATCCTCACATATTTGATTATCTCTTCAAATACATAAGCATTTATATCCCCCTTAACAAAATTTGTATAATTTAGATAAACAGAAATATTTATAATTTTTTTTTAACTTTTTATCTTGAAGAACGTTGGCTTTTGATATTAGTTCAGTCATAGGAGTTCCAACAATATTATTAAAATTATATTCCATTTTAAAAATTGATTGGATAAGAAGAAATATGATAATCCAAACAAAATTTTCCAATTAAAGGATTTGTCTCTTCTATTTACATCATATGTTCATAATTGTGTAGTTACACAATCCAAGAAGAAAATATTCAATATAAATTTTAAAAACATTGAAGATTGATATGCTTCACTTCCTGCTCAATTTTTTTTTTTTTTTTTGCAAAATATTTATGAAATATTCTCAAGTCATTTTTTTTAAATATTCATCATTATTCTACTATTGATATTTTTGTTATTTTATTTTAAAGCTTAAAACTCTTTTGAAGACATACCAATTTTTTTTTTTCACAGCATGTTAGTCACAAAATTGCTCACCTAACAATCTGATTTGTGTAACATCTTAAAATGCCTCTTTTTAAAAAATCTTAAACAAATTTCAATTCCTTTCATTTTTATTACTTTAAGCTTTCTTTTCAAGTTTAACACCTATATTTTTTTTTTCTTTCACTTTTTTGAACTCGGCCTTCAAATTATCCCGCACAATGTTAACAAATATATTATCACGTATTGCCTGTATAATGGCAATTGTTTTTTCCTCCTTTGCAACTTCATTGCTGCCACTCCTGATTTTAAGTTCAATTGGATTTTTTTAGTACTAAATCCTGCAAATTTTGAGCTGAGATAAATCACTCATGTGGAAATATTGGAGAAGGAAGTACTACTGGGAATGAAATGATTTTTGTATTTGTAGATTTTTTCTTTCTTGTGTTTTCCTGTATTTTTTTCACTCTCTTCCTTAAAATCTATGATTTCTCTCTCTAACACATACCCTTAAAAGGTCCATGAATTGATATCATATGTTTAAAAACAGAAAAGACTATAGAAGAGAAGAGAGAATCTCTTAATATACTAATTTTTCACTCAAAGTTACACATTTTACAACAACAATTTAAATAAAAAACTATAAAACTCCTAATTGAACAGAATAAAAAACAAATATCATAAACTCAGTGGAGTTGACATGCTTCAAACAAATCAACTCAGACAATCATTGGTAAGAACACTGTAACTAACCATATCTCTACTTTTCCCTTTGAAAACCAGCATTGTCCAGCACCCTCTGAGAACCAACATTTTCCACATCAACCAGAGCTTGAAGCCTCTCCAAGTGGGGAAACTCAGTGAATGCAACTTTAACAACTTGATTCACAACATGTGTTGCAATCCCTTTACCCCCAGTATCTGGAGCTTATAGCGTAGCCAAGTTCAGCAGATTTTAGTCTGTTCCTACCCTGTCCCTCACATGAGCACAAATCAATACACCCAATTGCAAGATTATTGAGGCAAATTGCTCTGAATCATAGAGCTTTGCTTGCTATATTTTGGATGAAGTTGATGCCATCCTCTTTGCTAGTGTAAGGTTCCCAAGTGCAATACCTGGCCACTTTTTCATCAGTAGTTCACAACATTAGATCATCAACATCGTCAAGACTAATGGGTCGAAGAGAGATTTGGGTCAAATCAATACCCTCATCTCTGATATTTGTAGTTGTTACTGCACATTTAGCATCTCCCTCCATCATCATCTTGGCATGGATGGATCCAAGGTTTGGCTATATTTATATATCAAAACTATATGGGGTTTTATATTTCCGGGAATATAATTCAGATAATATAATCAGAAAGTTATTCTTGAACAGGTTTATTTAAGTTTTTGTATTCCTGAAAATATTTTGTTAAAACAAACCTCTCATGCATGTGTTGTTGGAGTAGGGACCAAGGAAACTCTGCACTAAATTATAGTATTGTTGCTTGCAGCCGTGATTGACTATGAATTGATACGTGTTCCAATTTGATTGCAGGGAGACTTATTAACGGCCTGTCAAGAGACAAATTATGAAATGCTTCCTTAAAGTTTTTGTTCAAATAAATAACCCGGGTTGGTGTTGAAATTTTATCAACTCAATCAAATAAATATTTTTACATTCATATATTTTATAGAATATAGTTACATCATTTCATTAAAAGTAATATATCACTAAGTAATGTATAATTTTGGAAAATCTTATAAATTTGTCACATTTTTTATTTAACTCATATATTATTATTTATTATATGTAAAATATCATTGTCTCGTATTAAATCATATATTTTTTTAATTTATTAATTTTTAATTTTAGTTATTATTTTATCATGTATGTTAGAAGATAAATATTTAGTTCCATACAATTATAATTTATAACAAATTACTGCCTTTATATTTTATTAATTATATTATAATTTAAATTTGTAATAAGTAATTATTTTTAAATATAAAATTATAATTTATAATAAAATTTAAATTATAATGAGAATAATTGAAATTGAAACTGATAGTCAATTAAGAATATTGAAGGTATAAATAAAGATAAATAAAATGACAATTTAATAGGGCTGAAATGAATGTATGGGAAATGCATCTCCATACAAAACAAAAATAGTGTCAGAAATCTTTATAATAATATATTATTTTAAATTTAATTTTTAGGTTGTATTTATTATTTGGTTCAAAAACAAAATCCTAAAATGTGTATTATAATAAATCAATTACTAGCTAGAAATTCTTTTAAATCATTATAACACGTTTGAAAATAAAAATTAACAAAGACGAAAACAGTACATTCTAATCAAATGTCACATTTTTAGTTTCAATATAAAAAACGAAACGAAAGAATAAAATGATTTCAGTTTATTTATAAATGCAGCTGAGAATAATATAGAAAAAAAAAACACAATACACAACAATTAGAAAAAAAATAATTGCTCACTCTGATCATTTTTACAATAACTAAATTAGAGGATATGTTTGATTATTTTAATAAGAATTAATCTAGAATATTTCTCGTATTTTTTTATAAAATGTATTTATTTTAGAGTTTAAGAAATAAAAAATAAAATGCTTAACATACATTTTTACGGAAATGATTCTTTTATGTTGAACAAATTTTTTTATAACAGTTTTGTTAAAACAAATTTAAAAACTACTTTTTTCAAAATAAAAAATTAATAAATAATATTTTCTGTTTCTATTTTTTAACCTTTTCTATCATTCTCTTCCATTTAAAATAGTTTTTAAGAATAGTTATCATACAATTTTTAATTTATTTTCAAAAAAAGCTTAATTTTCAATTCACTTATTACCAAAGAATGAAACAAAGATATTCGGGGAGATAGTAAAAACAAAATTAAAACAATAAAAATATTTGAAAAAGAATATAAATGTGTCTAATAATTAAAAGTATTTGGAATAATAAAAAAACAAAAAATAATGTTATTCGTGTTGTAAAAGCACAATTTGACGTGTAATATTTATTGTATATTTTGCATCTTTCTCTTAGCATGCTTAATTAAGTGAAATGGTTGTCAAGCAAGAATCATAACATCCAATATAATCACAAACTCTCTCCGAATATTTATGTTCTCTTCGTTACATTTCTTGCTGAAAATACCACTGATTCTGTCATGAAGTAATGCAGACAAGATGTGAACGTGTGTTAATAGACATTAAAGGTTGAAGAAGAAAGGGTGAAAAGCTTTATTTCCTGCTCTGTGCTTTCACAGCTTAAACATTGTCAAACATATCAGCGCAACTTCTTGGCTAAAATGTGGCTCAGTACATGTCCCTTGAAAGCTACTGTGATTAGATAAAGCCTAACAGCATTTTTACCAGCTAAAGTTAAAAATTATTATGCTAGATTAGACACATACCAAACAAAGAAAGTACTTACAACAAAATGGTTCTAAATTTTCTCACTTAGTCTTCATTAGTTGAAGGCCTAGAGCATCCACAAAACCCCTTGCTGCGCTTTTTACTACTTTTCTTCCCACTGTGAATGAAGTCCCTAAGCAAGATCACTGTTTTTCCAGAGAATCTGTTCTTCCCTTTGCTCTTTTCATCAGCCAATTTCAGCAAAGTGTATTGGATGTTCTGCACCTCAAACTGCAACCGTCCTATCTGTTCAGAACCTTTTCGTGCCTGCTCGGTTACTCTTTTTCTCTGCATGTGTCTACTCTTTTCCAGCTCAACTGAAATCTCCCTCTTCAAAGATGGGGCACTCTCTTCAAGATCCTTTGTCAGTTGATCATTAGTATCTGCTAATTTCACAACAGCTTCCTCAACTTCTTCAATCTGTCTTTTAACTGTTTCATATTCATTTTCGTCTCCCTTCTTACTTCTCTTCTTTGTCTCCATTTTCTGTTTCAAATCTTGCACGCTTGTCTTGAGAATGGTCAGTTTCTGTGCATCCGAAGAAAGCCTTTCCAGTATCTTTTTCCTCTTCCCATCTTGAGTTCTCTCTTTTATACTTCTTGACAACTGAAGCCTGTCAACTCCCAATTCCTTTTCCACATCCAATTCTGAGGAGGTATTTTGGATTTTACCTGAATTGTCTGACTGATGGTATGTAATAACATCCTCTGTTGGTACAGAACTTTGTTTGATTGCTTCGTTATCCACGGAACTATCGCAGCAGTTTTGCTCAGCAGTTTCCCATAATTCAAGCATCTGATCATCAGTCCCACTATTCTCTCTTCTGCAACTTTTGGAGGCTGGAGTGTCTGAGATGTGATCAAGTGGAATGTCTTTCATCAATGACCCAATTTCAGGATTTGTTCTTCCTGAGTTGAGATCACAAGTGCTTCCATCCTTGAGTACCTCGTCTTCTTTTCTATTATGATTCTCTACATATGGTGAAACTTCCACATTTGACACTTTTGTCAGAGCTCCTTGATTAGCTTTAATGGTTAGATCTTCTTCCTTCACATGCCTCTCAATTTCTTGGACCATCGACTTTTCAACCGCTCTAATCCTTTCCTTCATGCACAGCAAATCTGAAACCCCATCAGGTATCAGAATGCTTTTGTTGTCTGTTGAACTTTGATGGCCATTTTCTTGGAAACAAGTTTCAATTACTGCATCCTGGACAAACATACATTCATATCAAACAAGGATAAGTAGCATTCATGTCAAGTCTCCTGTATATGCTCATCGTCTCAGTTATTGTGAAGAAATAATAAAGAATAAGAAAGAATTTTAGGATTACAGTCAATACAGAATATTACCTTTTGTTCTTGATTGCATTCAACTGGCATTTTGTTTATTCTAAGCAGAGCAGTGTGTTCTAAAGAAGCAAAATCCTCTTTCAAAGAACTAATGACAGGTGTATATGCAGATAACTGCCCTTTCAGTCCTCCAATTTCACTCTCCAGTAGACTTACTCTTTCTGTCATCTGTTTAATCTCCATGCTTTTTGCATCACTTTCATCTTCAAGTCTCGTGCAAACTCCAGAAAGCTCATTGACCTTATTTTCCAATAAGGCTTCACTAATAGATGAAATCTGAAGATCAAAATAGAACGTAGCAGCCTCAGCCTCCCAAAGTTCAAATTCGTTTGTTTTATCCAGCAGCTCTGAACTCAATGTTTCCTCCCTAGCTCTCTGTTGTTCCACTTCTTGACGTAAGAATCTCATCTGTGACATTAAACTTTTGTTTGCTTCTGTAAGGTGTTCAATTTCTTTTTTGTGATTCATGCAACCTTCTGATAGTTCAAGAATCTGCCTCTCAAGATTTTCATTGATCAATCTTAATTGTGTTTTTTCTGCCTTCACCTTCTCAATATTTCTAGAAAATTCTGCACTCAACGATTCTGCAGCCTTTAGCCTTTCCAACATTTCTATTAGTTCCACATTCTTCTTCTCAAGCACATGCTCTGAACTTTCAATTTGACAATTTAAATGGCCATTTTTAGCTTTGGATTCTTGCATATCTTTGTCCATCCTCTCAAATGACTCCTTCAAATAGACATTCTCAGCTTCTTTAACCTCAAACTTCTTCCTTAATAGACCAAGCTCCCGTTTAAGATCACTGTTCAAAGAGTGAAGATCGCTGAGATTTTCAGCAAGTGCACATTGTTCCAGCACCTTCTCAGTGAAAAAGCTCTCATAAACCAAACTAAGATTTTTCAGAGCCAGTGCCTCGTGGAGGATTACACTATTCTCTTGTTCAGCAGCAGACTTTGCATCTTCAAGGTCCAAAACACTCCCAAGTAGTGAATTTTTCTCCTCAAGTAACTTACAATTTTCTTCCTGAAACACTAGATTAGTTCTTCGCAAATCTATCAACTCCACGTGAAGGGATTCTAATTTGGACTGTAATTCATTCTCCTTTTCTTCTCCCTTGGTCACTTCAGACCTAAGTTGCATGTTCATCTCCAGAAGTTCAAGCTTAACCATCTGCAACATTGCATGCTGCTCTCTTGTGTTTTCAAACTCTTGCTCTAGAATCCCTTTTTCTGTCACCAGTACTTCACGTTCAGATTCTTGTTGCGAAAGTACAGTTAGGAGAACAGAATTTTCTACAAGTAGCTGCAGCTTCTCCTCTTGGGTTTTCACAAGGGATCCTTTCAAGCCTTCGATATTATTCAAAATATGTGATATAGGCATTTCCTCTTGCTTGATCCCTTTGCCATGCCCCCCACCTGAATCAACCTGAAGGGCTGCAAGAACTTGATGAATCCCCACTTTAAACTTTCTGATTTCATCTAACAAG